ATTGTGCAGATTGGTCCATTTCAGAATAATATATATGATGTGTTTTATAATGATTGATCATCAATAGAGATGTCCCGATCCGATCACGTGATCGGGGATCGGAGCCAATCACGTGATTTTCAAAAGATCGGAATCGGGAGAAAAAAAATTGGATCGGGATAAAAAAAAATTTATTTTAATTTTTAAATACTTTTTTTTAAATTTTGTATTCAATGTTAAAAAACAAAATGACCATGTTCAAGTCTTAAAGTCATCCTGAGGCCTTAAGTTTGGTTTCAAATTACAGAACATCATGTATGTGTTGCTTCTTTGGGGCTTGTTTTCATAGACCTGCTTATTTCTCTCAAATCTGGCAACAGAGTGGGCGCAGTGTCTAATTGTAGCAGTAGGCTAACGAGTACTGATAAGCTTTATTTTGTTTTGATCCAATGCTGCACAACTGAACTGATCCAATGCTGCTGTGAAAGAAAGAAGCTATATCCATGTTGGATAGAATATCCAATTTAAATAAAAAAATAACCTTAAGGGACAACTTGAATGCTTTTTTTTCTCTTAATGCATTGCATAAAGATCGGATCGGGAAAAATCGGTATCGGCAAATTGTCAAAATCAAATGATCGGAATCGGATCGGGAGCAAAAAAAGGTGATAGGGACATCCCCCCTGTAACAGCCAGCAGATACCGCCATTTCCTTTTGTGCTTCACCAATAACCACAGAATCAGATCTGTGTTCTACTCACCTCACTTACTCCCTCTTTCTCCGGTTCTTCCTCCCCTCAGGCCTCGGCTCTCTGTTCTCCGGTCCGAACCTCTCTGGGATCACCTCGGACACCCTGAAGGTGGCGGGGGTCCGGCACGCCTCCACCCTGGAGCTCAGCGAGGAGGGTGTGGAGGCGTCAGCCACCACCGCCGTCACCACCATGCGCTCCATCTCCCTGTTCTCAGCCAACTCTCCGTTCTTCTTCGCCCTCGTGGACGACGCCTCGCTGGCCCCCCTCTTCATGGGCCTCGTCACAAACCCCGCCCCCGACCACATGCTCAACGACGACCCCGGGCGAAACAACGGCACCATGAGCGACCAGCCGGAGATGGAGAAGTTATCACCAGAATGAATAATAAACTATTAAAGGTCACCAATTATGCAAAAATATTTTCTACATCAACATGTGTCCCCTCTTCTTCATGTCTCTTCTACATCAACATGTGTCCCCTCTTCTTCATGTCTCTTCTACATCAACATTTGTCCCCTCTTCTTCCTGTCTCTTCTACATCAACATGTGTCCCCTCTTCTTCATGTCTCTTCTACATCAACATGTGTCCCCTCTTCTTCATGTCTCTTCTACATCAACATGTGTCCCCTCTTCTCCATGTCTCTTCTACATCAACATGTGTCCCCTCTGTGGAAAGAGACTCTGAAAGATTCTCTCTCTTTTTGATCTATTTCTATCTGAAAATGAGCTGATCAGATTTTGGCCACTTGATGATGTCATAATGTTGTATGAAATGATGTATTGATCTCAAACAGTTTAATGAGGGACCTTTAAACTATTGGAAATACAGTCGTTTGTTTTATTGTTACTGAGAATATGAACATGTTTAACGTTGATTATGACGGAGGATCACGGTTTGGTTTGATGTTGTTAAATAATGTATAGCTCAAAATGGAAAAATACAAATGTAGTTATATGTATTGAGAATTTACCAGATTTTATTTTGACATTAATCCGTTTTTTTATGCAATACAAATGATAAACTACAGTGTCTAATGGATGTTTGTGTGTTATGATGTTAAAGAGATTCTTCATGCTGATGTTTTATCTACAATGTGATGATTTTAATTTGATATTCAGTCATGTCGGAAATCTAACGCAGTGTTGTTTTGTTCAGGGAGGTTAACCCTTCAAATGTAAGAAGTAGTAAAATAACAGTTTCAGCTTTAAGGCTTTTTCATCTTTATTATCTGAGACTTTGTCAGGGCTCAGGCAGCAGGATGAAGCTCTATACTGTATATATCTATAGACACCTGAGAGGACACTCTGCAGCCCCTCCTGTTTTCACTTTCCTGAATCAGCCCTTCCTCTCCGCGTTGCGCCCCGTGGCTCTGTTTGCTCAGCCTCGTCTCTCCTGCAGAATCAGAAACTGAGCGACGTGGACGCTGCAGAAAGAGGTGAGTGCACTCTGAACGAGCTTTTTGGGGTATTTTGTGCTTTCATGCACACGTTTTGACTTCTTTACATCGTGCAATGAATAGAAATGTCCTGATGACTCAAAGCTGCAGGATGAGAGGTCAGGATCACATCAACTCAATATGTTGTCGTAAAGATACAACCGTCTTAGTGTGTTTCCAGTCACGGAAGAGTTTTGGTTTCTGCACAAAAGTTTCTCACTTTTTACAAAATGCTCCAGCTGTGGAAAAGCTGCAGAGTCCATAGTGTGCTCAAATCTAAATCCTTATATCAATGTGTGGCTTCTGAAGGTCATGCTAAAGTGCAGATGGGGCTTGTTTGCAGCTGCAGGTTATCTGGGGTGAGTTGGTCTTGGTGCCAGGAACATTTCTGCAATTCAGTAAAGCCCATACATGATGAGACAGTGGAGGAGCAGCCAATGAGAAACATTCCTGTGGGTTTCTGCAAGTTCCCTCAGGACACCAGGCTGCTGACTCTTTAGAAAACAAGACACATGATGCAGGATGAATCTGTGCATCGACACAATGTCTACGTTCGACCCGTGTTGCCTTCAGGCTCTGGTGGAACAGTCTGACATCTGTGTGTGCAAACCAAACTGCATCCAGGGGTGACATACGTCTGCAGCAGGGGATAGGAGAAAGTGCATCATTATTACCATCTTCTTGTTCATCTTCTATTTGTTGCTATAATCTCATTTGAGCTGCTCTCGTCCTTTTCCATTTCATTTGAAAACAGATGAGAGTTTTTGGAGAAGTCGTTAAAAAAAAGTCCAAAAGTCTGAAGAAACTGCTCTAAGGTTTTTTATGGAAGACACCGTCTGGGTATCCCATCAGGCTGTGTGTGTGTGTGTGTGTGTGTGTGTGTGTGTGTGTGTGTGTGTGTGTGTGTGTGTGTGTGTGTGTGTGTGTGTGTGTGTGTGTGTGTGTGTGTGTGTGTGTGTGTGTGTGTGTGTGTGTGTGTGTGTGTGTGTGTGTGTGTGTGTGTGTGTGTGTGTGTGTGTGTGTGTGTATGTATGTATCTGTGTGTGTGTATGTGTGTGTCTGTGTGTGTGTGTGTGTGTGTGTGTGTGTGTGTGTGTGTGTGTGTGTGTTGTGTGTGTGTGTGTGTGTGTGTGTGTGTGTGTGTGTGTGTGTGTGTGTGTGTGTGTGTGTGTGTGTGTGTGTATGTATCTGTGTGTGTGTGTGTGTGTGTGTGTGTGTGTGTGTGTGTGTGTGTGTGTGTGTGTGTGTGTGTGTGTGTGTGTGTGTGTGTGTGTGTGTTGTTGTGTCTGTGTGTGTGTGTG